TTCATAGTACTTGAGGAATTTAATATTTGTTGATAATTTATGCAGCTTGAGAAGTTGAGCGAGGTACAATGTCAGCCTGAATCACAGTTGAAGTTTATAATAGATGCCTGGCTGCAGGTATGTTACAAATATGGACTATTAGAAATTTAGAATTGCTTCCAGTTTTACTCCTACATTGGCATTTCATTCAAAGTACCCAAGCTGTAATTTTGGTCACCCTTTTATAAATTTTGTAAAATAGTCCTTCGGTAACGTAACACTCATGGAGGACTAAAACCACTACAAGGAGCATCTCACTGTAGAGATTTAAAAAGCTCGGTATTGGTTCATATATTCCCTTTGCTTCCAAATAAAGTCATATTTGAGGTTTCTGCTTTGTCCTACAAAAAGAGTCACTGCATTACAAGTCATCTTTTATTTTTAAATGAAACTCCTGTGAAGTCAAGTAGCACTCTCTACTCTCCATGTAGAGGTAAGGTTTGCGACTTTGCGTACGCTTACCCTCTTGAGACCTGACTTTGTGGGAATTTACTGGGTTGGTTGTTGTTGCAAAGTCAAGTAGCAAGCATTTATAATCAACTACTCCAAACAATCTTAGAAATAAATTTTAGGGGTATAACCTATAAGTGACCATTTATAATTTTTAAAAGTTTGTACCTTGGCGTACACTGCATGTAGGGTTAAGGTTTGCGTACACTTCCCCTCCCGGGATCTCACTTTGTGAGATTTTACTGGGATTGTTGTTGGTGCAAAGTCAAGTGGCAAGCACTTATAATCAACCACTCCAAATAGTCTTAGACATAAATTTTAGGGGTATAACCTATAAGTGATCATTCATAATTTTAAAAGTTTGTACCTTGGCTGATTTGACTAAAAATAAAAAAATTGTACCTTACTAAAAAATGACTTTTTTAACAGAGTTTAAATAATAAAGAATGTTAGCATTTTCTTGTGAAAGATATGTGTTAATGGGGGTTGCTTCATATCTAATTTGCAGATAGTTGAATGTAGACGGGTGCTTAAGTGGACATATGCATATGGGTTTTACTTACCCGAGCATGAACGTGCAAAGCGACAGTTCTTTGAGTATCTACAAGGTATTCTATTTCCCAGTATGTATATTTTTTAAGAAATAAATTATGGTGCTTTAGTGAGGCATTCTTTACCGTATAGGTGAAGCGGAGTCAGGCTTAGAACGGCTTCATCAATGTGCTGAAAAGGAACTTCAGGCATATCTTAATGCAGATAGTCCATCAAAAGACTTTAATGAATTCCGCACAAGGCTAGCAGGGTTGACTAGGTAATTTCCAAAATAAGATTTCCCTATCTTCAATATTTGGGGAAATTGGATAATTGCCTCGTATCTTTTAGGTGGTGCCTAAAAAGGTCATGTTATCTTGGAACATTCTCTTTTTGGTAATTTAATTCATTATATTTTACTCCAATTTGAAAAATTCCGACCCCATGAAATTGATTAAAGAATTCCTACTCCAGGAAATTCAAAACAACACCAAATTTCATCATGCGCGGATCATGTGCTATCTCTTATTTAGTTATTTTGGAAATTTTCATAGTTGATTTTTTGTTTATTCTTGAATAAAATACGAAGCACAAAATTACTATACTTAGTTTAAGTGCCCACATAAGCACAATTTTGCTTTAAAAAACACCAAAATAGGAAACTCGTCCTGATGAAATCTTATGAGTTATGACTTTCACTTATTTGGACCAAAAATTCTCATATTTAGCAATAATAAGCTATGGGAGAAGTATTAGAGGGTGTTTGAGAGTGATTAACTTATGGATAAAGTGATTTCCACAAAAGTGATTTCCACAATAGCTGAAAGCAAAAGCACTTCATACCTGCTTCTCCGAAACGGTGTTCTATGTACAAAATAGTGGTGGTGAAAAGCAGAAGCTGACATGCCAAACAGAGTAAAACTACTTCTACATAAAGCAGAAGCTAAATTATTAAAAGCAGCACACTGTCAAACACCCTCTTGGAATGATCCTAGCTACGAGACCAATTGTGTTGGATAGCGTGTAAAGAATACAGAGACCAAGTGTGATATTACTGATGTACTCTTGATTGATACTACGTATAAATGAAGAACTTATAATGAATTGTGCCTGATCTGATGATATTTTGATCGCAGCGTGACTCGAAATTACTTTGAGAACCTGGTACGAGCATTGGAGAATGGTCTGTCGGATGTGGGCGCTCCTCGGGTTGGGGGTAGCAGCAGGGCAGCGGGAGTAGGCTCACGGAGCCTGGTGGGGTGCTTGAGCAGCGGCAGCAAGGGAAGAGGAGTGAGCAAGGGCAAAGGCACCACCACCACCACAACGTCTAGATCGAGCAGTTCCAAAACCATAGATGATTCCGGACACTGGTCCTGTCAGTACTGCACCTACGCTAACATCAAGTCCGCTAATGTTTGCCAAATGTGTCAGCAACGCCCTTGAAACTCAGTCAGTCAGCCAGTCTCACACGCTTTCGCGGCAGCAGAGCGGGGATGATGGATGATGATGATGATGATGATGGTGTACATAAGCTCTCATGTATGTGTTGTACAATGTGTACTAAACCAGCCAGAAAAGTCTCTTTGTTTTATTGTAATTCTGTTGCCGTCCGTCTGCATGTAAGGGAGGCCGGGAAATCTATCATCTGCTTGCTTAAAGCGCTGTTGTATTGTATTTGAACTGTACACTACTTTTATATATATAGGAAGATGGATCATTTATTCCCCCATCACAATGAATAAACCTATCTTTTTTAATTTAATAAGTATCTTTAGTAGTGTTTGGCTTCGACCATCTTTTAAACTTTATGACAACTTAGAGATCACTTTTGGAAAGGCTTAAACTAAAATGGCTCAAACGTTTGAATTTGTTGAAAATCTTGTAGTCATCATGGACTCATGGTTGAAATGGCTGGTTGATTTGGTTGGATTATATTTATAAAAAAATTATAAATTATAGTTGCACTTAAAGTAAGGCCGACTTGTCCATTCTAGTACCAAACTTTAGTCCCAAAATGATAATAGGACTCCACGATGGCAAACTTCTCTTGGATGAATCTTCTTATAGTTTTTATGGACTTATAAGTGGCTATTTTTAAAATTTTGCAATAAATTCAATTCTTTCCAAGCGTTTATGTACTAAAGTCCATAAAATAAGTATGGATTTTAGGACAACATGAAAATTTGCTTCTTTTGGATTGGATTTGTGTGGTTAAAGCTCTTCGGGAGTTGTTCTCTTTTCTCTTCTATTTTTTGATTGACGATTGTTAGGTTTTGGCATCTGATTTTTGTTTTGTTTTCTTTTATTTCTGTTCAATCTAATAATCTCAACTTCTTAAATACAGTTATACAGCGGTGAGACACAAACGCCATTTAGATATCCGAAATTCAGATATCCAAAAGTTTTTAGATCAGATATAGAAATTTTATTGTTCTGAATTTTTTGGATTTCCAAACATTCAGATCGGATAATTTGGTTATTTGATTGAACACACCTACTCGGAGGTACATATATACTACTTCTGTCCCACTCTCTTTGTCCACTTTTGACTTTTGGAACTGTTCCTCTAGGCACTTTGACTCATCAAATTCTCTCAATGTGTAAGCTTAAATATAGTCATGTGTGATCTTATTTGATTTGTCTTAAAATATAGATTATTAATAAATAATTTCTATAATTTTTTAATATACAAATTACAAGATAAAATGGATTAAAGAAGTGCATTGGATGGTGTGCCAAAAGATAAAAGGACAAAGAGGTAAATACTACTTAATATACTTAAGTAAATGGAGTAAAAGTTAAAGAATATTTTTTTGTACCTTTATTTGCTTGCATATGTATATAGTTAGAGCATGTGCATTATAAAATACGGAATAAATGTATGCAATTCCAAAAGTAACACAATTGTTGTTCTTTTGTTAAAAGAAGTTTTTTTGTTGCTAATAGCATGTATTGAGTTAAAGACTAAAAATATATACTCAGAACTTACAAGTTATAAAATTAGTATATGTGTAAAATTTTAGAATTGAATGACTTGGTTTCATTGATGCAATCACCCGTATAAATATTACAAGAGTTACCAAAAATACTTAAGGAAATACAATTCTACAAGGTACTAATTAATACTCCCTCCGTCCCAAAAACTTTGTTACGTTTTGAAAAAACTGCGTCACGTAAAGTCCGTTACATTTATATTAAAAAACCACTTTTACCCCTTACTTTTTCATACTCTACCTATCACATCACACGTAGTACTTTTTTTCTAATAATCTACCCATCACATCCTACTTTTACTCATCACGTCAAGAATATTTTTGGAAAGTCAATACCAAAATACCCCTCCCTTAAATTCCCAAAAAGTTAAAGCGTCCCATTCTTTTTGGGACGGAGGGAGTACATAATATTCACAAAAAATATATTCCAGTGCTCCCCTCAAGTTGGAGCATAAGATCGAGAAAGCCCAACTTATATATGTTGGGATATTTGATTAAATAATCAAAAGAAACAAAAAAAAAGGAAAAGAAAGAAATCAAAGGAATCAAATTGCGTGTGGATTTTTTTTTATGGAAGGGAATCAAATTTTGGACTCTTGTGCTTGTGGTCATTTGCAGGAGTACTTCCCTTGGCTTTAAAAGCCATGCATGGTCTTCTTAGTAAGCATACACACGACTAAAGAAAAAGAGGAAGGTTAAGAGAGAGGTCTACAGAAGATATCACCAACATTGTGTGAGTGAGTGTAGGGAGTAACTGATTTTAGTTACTCGAAAAAATACATCCTGGTGTAGGGTGTGAAAAGTCTGTCTATAAGTGTCTTGTATTTAGCACTTGTAAACAGGGAGAATTTTTTGTGTATCGTTCTGAAATAGTGAAGATATAATTTTTCTCTCATATTTTCTTCTTGTGTAGTGTGTTATTTATTTTTCACGTTCTTGATATTTTAATAGTCTTACGCGCTTAAAATCCCAACAATTGGTATCGGAGCCAAGTTACATTTGGGGCGGAGGGATTTCTAAGCGGTAAGAGAAGAAAGTCGAAGAACTTGAAAAATGGCATCGGTGAAAAGTTCGAATGTTTCTGTCGAACCTTTCGATGGACGTGGTGATTTTACTCTGTGGCAACAACGAGTAAAAAGTGTTCTTACTCGGGAAGGGACAATCAAAGCTCTGAAGGTGAAGGTTCAGAGCACAGAAAAAATGACGGATGCTGAGTGGGCCAAACACCGGAAGAACGACAAACCGGAAAAATTGTCGGAAGAAGAGTGGGAGGATTTGAAGGACATGGCAACAAGTACAATATGCCTATGCCTTGCAAATAATACTCTTCGGGAGGTTCTCGGTTTGACGGACCCGGTGGATATTTGGGACAAGCTGGAGAGCCGGTACAAGTCGAAATCGTTGACAAGTAGGCTATACTTGAAGAAACGATTGTTTGGTCTCCAAATGGCG